TGAGAGTGGGGGTGGGGGTGGGGGGCGTGAGGGGCCTTGCTAACACATTTGTTGACTCTCCAGGAGACCGGCGCCCCCATTCAGTTTTATTCCTGTGAAAAGCAGGAGAACATTCTGAGTCTGGTGGGGGATGGTGGTAGTCTGACTTTTTTGTCAAATAGCTTTGAGGAAAAAAAAAAAAGAAAACACTCTAACGTTCACAAAGACACATAGCTAAGTGATCGATTCATTAAGGTTAGGGATCAAAAACAAATCAGCCCAATTATTATTGGCTGACATTCCTTTCTTGCTAGGATTGGTTGGTGATCAAAGATGGTGATAAATTCCATGTGTCCATGCCTACCCTCAGCTTCCTTATATAAAAAACTGTTAATGAGTGGGTGTGCACCCTGAGGATTTAAAATAGAGGTGACTGGCTCTTTTTTATATGTAAAAGTTTAGATTTGTTATTCTTCGAAGATTCTTATAAGATTACCTTTTGAGATAAATAATACAATGATTGGTCCTTTCTTGGTAGCCACAGAGAACAGCCTCTCAGCAAAAGAACTGGATGAGAAAAACACCTTGCTTGCTCACACTCTGTTAATCTATAACAAGTTCCTTGGACATGAATGTATGTGGGCTCTTGGGACAACTTCTTTTTCACCTGTAATATGCAAAACATTCAATAATGTTATGGATATGGAAAACATTCTGTTCTTTACTTGTATTCATTGTAATCATTTACTTGAAGAATAGAATTTAACCACATTGTAATTTTTATATTGCTTGAAAGATTTTGCTGAGGTATATAAGGTGTAAGGGAAAAAATAAAGTGAGTAGAAGGAAAATATCAATAATGAAAGAAGGAAAACACCAGAAAAGATGTAGAGAAAAAAATAAAGAAAAAGTCAGAAAGGGAAAAAAAAGAAAAGAAAAGCAGGAGAACATAGCAGAAAGGGCAGAGACACAATAAGAAAGTGACCATGGTTCATCTCCACTTCATTGCTTACCGACTTTGAACTTGGACAGTTTTCAACACTAAATGGAAACTAAATGATAGCATATACCAGAAGGCTGTTAAAAGACATAAGTAAAACTATGTATGTACAATGCCTAACAGGGTTCCTGGTTAAAATTGAGGAATGAATTCTAACTCTGGCATTTCCTGCCAATGTAATATAATATAATATAATATAATATAATATAATATAATATAATATAATATAATATAATATAATATATAATATATATCTGTATTTCACTATAATTCAATACCTATACTCTTCCTAACACAAGAAAACATTTTTTGAGAATCTCAAATTAGTTATGTTTCATAACGCCTATAAGATTGAGATATCAGAGTCAGCCATATATATTGAGGTTAGTCTACTTGTTTCTTTGCCTCCAGGGAAACAAAGAGGCTTTGCTTTAGAATCATTTTTCATACATGCAAATGAATTTTTGCAGTATTTGAAAGTGACCATAGACTTTGCAAGCAAAACATTTCACCACTACTTCCTAGTGCACAGGAAGATGTTAACATATGATGGGGAGTAGGAACAGCTAACAGTTAGTTATCTTAGTGCCTTCTCGTCATTAAGTCTTACAGTTCATTTTTAACCATGTCCCAATGGCCATCTTTATTTCAAACCCAGTCTGTTCCTCCTCGGTGTCTCTAAGTCCTGCCCTCCTCTGGCCTTGATGCACTCTCAGGCAAGCCCTTTCCCGCTGGCTCACAAGGTTGCCAGCAACTGAAATTCACCTGCTTCTGTTCCGAGTTCAACAGAAAAGCAAGCACACCTTTCCAAAATGACTCTGGCTACTACAACCAATGGACAGCATGTGGATAAGAGACAACCAGAACAGGAAGTGTCTACAACAGATGCTTCTTCAGAAAGGCCCACCAGCCTGGGTACAGGCAGACAGGCCTGGAGGTTTCTAAGTATGCCCTCCCTCAGTGCTTCCAATTCAAAAGATTTGACATTGCCTAGTCCTTGCCTGTAACTTCTCACTTCCAGTCCTTAGTTCAGTTGCATGTGGAAATGGTTCCTGCTTGCCAAAATCTTTTCTGTGAAATATGTCACAGATGGTTAATAAACGTTTTCATATGTAGTCAACGGTCTATTAATATTCATTCACAGCAGTTTATTCTCTTTGGCTACAAATCATTTACTTATTAAAATAGCAAAACATCTTTTCATCTGCCTAATAATCTAATATTTATGTTGTAGTGAAAGAGGAATTTCAAATTAATAAGCATAGTTGTGAGTCATATAATATCATGTCAGTCAACACAAGACTGCATGGACCACGGGGTCCTATAAGATTATTAGTTAAGATAAAGTGTTGATCAGTCTGAGTCAGCCCCTTCCATACTTTCAAACTGATAGAACGCTGTGTTTTCGTCAAAGGTTATTCAGACATCTTTTATTGTCAAGGTAGGTTTTAGATATTTTTTAAAAATATGAGCAGACAGAAGCAAGAGCTAAATTAGCAAAATTATATTCAGTTTGTCCATGTGAGAAGCAAAAAGATTACTACTCACTTTTTTAAATTATTTAATTTTACTTTTGATTGTGTGTGTGTGTATGTGTGTGTGTGTGTGTGTGTGTGTGTGTGTGCATGTGCATATGTGTGTGAATACAAGTGTAAAGTCAGGCTCCAATGGAATCTAAAAGAGGCTGTTAGATCCCCTGGAACTGGAGATATAGGTAGTTTTGAGTTGCCCTGAGGTAGGTGTTGGGAACTAGACTTAAGTCATCTACAAGAACAATACATACTGCTAACCACCGAGCCCCAGGATTAATCTTCCTAATAAAGACATCATAGAAGTGGGTAAGAACAAGCAAATGTTATGTAAAACATAGACAAAGAAGTGAATAGATTAAAGGATTTTAAAGGAACATAGCTATAAATAAGGGAAACTGCACCAATGTTTAAACTGATGTAAAATGAACCCATTTGCCAAGATGGCATTTTCTTTTCCTCTCAAAAAAGTCACCCCAAAGCAAGGAAGATAAGAGACGCAAACTCCATATTGAAGAGAAGTAGGCGGCACAAACATCTTAAAGCATAAACTATCAAGCCAGAGAGTAAATGGAGATTTAGGCAACAGGAAAAGAGTCAAATCAAGCAGGGAAGGGACAGAAACAGCTGTATAACTCCCCCATTGGCCAGCAGAACTTTTTAGGCGATAGCTGAGACATGCCGGCAAATGTTTAACCATACGTTCTCATGAAAAACTACTAACAGTCAGGGGCAGCAAGGGAGCTGGTGCCTGGTGCTGGTGTTCATGTAGTAAATGCTACCAGCAGAAAGGAAGAAGAGCACATGACATACAAATAACAAAATCAATAACGTTTGCTTGGAATCCCCTATTGCCAGTTGTATCTGGTGGCCAATCTATTGATGTAATTAATGAGTGAGAACAACACCCACCAAATTGGTAATTGATCTTTTCAGTTAATCAGTAAGCAAACATAAGGTAATAAAGTTATCTGTGAGAAATTCATTCATTTGTGAATAGGTGAGTGGGTGTTTTGGTGGATTAGAAAATAACTGTAAGTATTTGGCTAAGTACTAAAAAAGTTTCCTTGATGTTATACTATTCATAATATGATAACTAGAGAAGGGGCATACTTAAGTCTAAACTGCATTGCCAGCATTTTCTCTATCATTTCCTCAAAATTAAGAGTCAAGAAAATAATGAGTGAAGCCTGGTGCTTTCAATTTCTATGAAAAAAACTTGTGCTTATTCAATCTACCATAGTCCAGTTCCAGTCTACGATGGTCAGGTTATTAATGTAGAATTAGAGAGAATGCCAGTCACACTCAGTTATACAGTGTTTCCACGTTTCACTGTGCATATCACAATTTATATGACAGTTTATGTGAATTAAATGTATTTAACTATTATATATTTCCTCAGAAATTTTTATCTGATCTTTCTCTGCTGTGTTCCTAATACCTGGGACAGAACTTGGCATATTGTAGGCATTCTACAAAAATTTATTAAATGAAAAATAAAACATTGAACTTACCTGCCAGACATTACCCTTAGTGTTTTATATATGTTGGGCCATAACATCCCACAGAACCCTATAAGGTGGCATCATTGTTAACTCCATTTTATAAATGTAAACAGGAAGTAATTGATCCAAGCTAGGATTTAACTCCGTGTACTTCAGTTCCACATTCTTTGCCACAGAAGATTCTCTTATTATATCAGAATCATATTGCTGCCAAAGAGAAATCCCAGGATGAGTATGATAAAGCAACAGAGCTGGGTGTATTGGCACATTACTTTAATCCTAGCTAAGATTCAGGGACAAGTGAATCTCTGTGAGTCACAGGCCAGCCTAGTCTACACAACAAGATCCTGTCTCAAAAATAAAAATAAAATAAAAGACAACAACATCATATTAGAAGACTTGAACAGAGACAATATACTGGAACTGACAGATGTCATGCATTTGCATCAAAATACTCAAAACTACATGCAATTTAGTAGCCATTGCTAGGTGGTGGGAATATAAGCAATTCATTCTTTAATGTCCTTAATATCTACATTATAATTTTAACAATGTATATGATTTACTTATGGAATGACTTAATGAGCTTCCACATTTAAAAACATAGCCCAAACAAAATATAATTTGTTAAAAGTTCAAAGAGCTTCTCAAAAACAAGTGTGTTGCTTGTGAGAATCGATACCAATACTAGATCTCTTTGGTCTAAAACACAAACCCAGTGAAAAAAATAAAGTATTTTTGTAAACTCATGGAGGATGTGGTATACAGTTGATGTAGAATTGTTCACAGAGTCAAGAGTGTTAAAACTAAGGTTCATGAAAAGCTCAGAAAAGGTAATACACATAAAATAGTAGACACTTTAAAGCACTCACTCAACAAGGGGTATATTTCTTCTAATGTTCTATCCAAGATTGCTCCTGCATGTTTGGAAGAATAAGTTCTTATATTTTGACGGTTTGTCTTCATTTACCACCCTTTTCTTCTTAGGTACCAGCAAAAGCCAGACACCTTACTCAACGACTTCGCTGCCACCACCTCCAGCATCCCATCCAAGCAGCCAGCCCCCACCTCCAGCAGCCCATCCATCCATCCAGCCGCCACTGCCAGCATCCCACCCAACACAGCAGCCAGTCCCAAGCCTACCCCCCAGGAACATTAAGCCTCCCCTTGACCTGAAGTAAGTAAAAGAGCATCTTACAACTTCATCACCAGTGTCTTGCCCGGGGATTTCCAAATGATTCGTGACTGGGGGCTAAAAGATCTATAGAAAACTTCTGTGGTACTTTAATGGGCTAGTTGGCAGGGCGAAGGGCAGGCTCTTTTAAAAGTCCAAAGTCTTTCAACTGTGGGCATCTGTAAAAATCAAAATTAAGTTACATACTTTCTTACTTCAAGAGGGAAGAACCAGGGGTACAGTCACAATCTGAACCAAGCAAAACCAAATTCCAACAGAGTAAATGACTCAATGTCTAGTCGTCTGTGATTCACTCATGATCTCCTGGGCCAAAGGGCCTGGGTCACTTCTTCGGCTCTGCCCTCTGCAGCACACACATTTGTCTTCTAGGCTCCAGCTGGCTCCATTGCCACTGCTATTCTTGGTGGTCATCCCCTGACATTGGCATCTCCAAAACCCTGGGGTTCTTTGCTGCAATTGGCCAAACGGTAGCCTCTCCTGGACTCTCTTTAGTGACTCCAGCCCCACCACACAGTGCCAAGCCTCAGCTACTCTCCACAACCTTCACACCTTCCAAAGCAGCACCACCTGGGTGACTCTTAACACTACCAAGTTCAGCTGCCAGCACAAGGCACAACCTTGTGGGACTCTGCAACACAGCTTCTGTGTGCTGACCCTCAGGAAACAGTTACCAGAATATTTCACCTCAGTTGTGTTGGTTTCTTCTTAATGGCTGCTAATTTCTCAGCTCCAGCTGACCAGCGTTGAATATCCCAGCAAAGCAAAGGTTTCACTTGAGTAGTTCTGGTATCTCATTAATCACAGCCGATTCTTCAGCTCCAGCTAACCAGGACTGCAGATTCTTCACACAAAAATCCCAGTAGGAGTCTTTGCTTCCCTCTGAAATGTCACAACCTAGGCCTCCATCATCTGTACTGCTCTCAGCATGCTTTCCTCCAAGCTCCTACAGGACAACTCTGAGCTTTCAACATGCAATGATTTTTCTAGCCCAAAGTTCCAGGGTCCTTCCACAATCCTCTCCAAAACAACATGTTCACATCTGTCATAGCCATACTCCCCTATCCTAGTACCAACTTGTCTTAGGGTTACTATGGTTGTGATGAAACATCATGACCAAAAGCAACTTGGGGAAGAAAGGATCTATTTCACTCAAAGTTGCACAAAACAGTTCATCACCAAAAGCAGCGAGAACTTATGCAAGGCAGGAACCTGGAGGCAGGAGCTGAAGCAGAGGCCATGAAGGGATGCTGTTTACTGGCTTGCTCCTCATGGCTTGCCCATTTGCTCTCTCGTAGAACCCAGGACTACCAGCCCAGGGATGGTACCACCCACCATAGGCTAGAGCCTCCCTCATTGATCACTAATTAAGAAAATACCTTGCAGCTGGATCTTACAGTGGCATTTTCTCAATTGAGGCTCCCTCCTCTTTAATGACTCTAGCTTCATCAAGCTGACACAAAACTAATCAGTACTGTGATAGTCCACTATGATAGTGTAATTTGACTTCACCTTAGGCTACCCCACACACACCATACAGTTCGTCTTTTGTCCATAATTCACATAGTAGAACTTGTTAATTACAAAATCATATTGAGATCTTCCTTAAGTGCTTCAGGATTCAATAAATTGAAAACCCATTTATTATGAGTACCCGTGACTATTTTTCACTTCATAATACTTCCATAGGTGTTTAAAATTAGTAACTAAGGATGTATGAGCAGCTTGGTGAGTCTTATCTTATCACCTGCTGCTCTGTGTATGCATATTAACATTACACCCTTCCAGGCATTTGAGTCTGTAGATGTTTGCTTGAAGACTCTGTTACCAAATCAAAGTGTAAGACATCTGCCTACTATTAAGGCTAAATAAATATTAGCCATATTAAAATAACTAATATATGCTCTCTTAAATACTCAATTTCCATACAAAATATTTGTTTTCACGTGTATAAAATCATATTCTTATTCCTAATTTTTCTCATCCTCTGGTAAATTTAACCCCTTGAATTAAGATTTCAGAATTTCTTTTTCATGTATTTATTTTTATTTTACATTTAACTTGTTTTGCTTTATTTTGCCTGAGACAAACCCTCACTGTACATCCCTAGCAGGCCTAGAACTCACTACGTAGCCCAGGGTGGCCTTTGATCTTATGAAGGTCCTGCTGCCTCTGCCTCTCAAGTGTTGAGATTGCAGGCCTGTGTCACCACAGTGGGCCCCTGATCCTGATAGTTCTAAAGTTTGTTATATAGCTCTGTCCCAGACACCAGCTTCAGCGAAGCCTCTTGGGTATGGCATAGTTGTAGTATGGAATCTTCACAAATGACTCAAACATGACTTCTGAAAACTGAAAAGGCTTGGAAGCCAGTCATCATCTCGTTAAGGAAAGAAATGGTATTCGATACTGTATCTACTGCTTCAGGGGTCCTCCAGACCACCCAGACATCTAATGACTCACTAAAAGGACTCACAGAGCTCAGTGTACAGAAACATGAGAGACCAGTTTCAATAAAGTAAAGAAGGGAAGGGACAGCCAGCAGGTGGCGCTAAGTATAGGCTTCCAGGCAATGCCGCAAACCAGAGAAGGGCATAGCGAGGATTGCTATGAAAATGCAGTGGGTGTCTTGGGCAGCATTCAGCAGACGCCGATCAGAGGCGGTAGAAGCTATAAGGTTTCCACGGGAAGCAGGGGAGCTTTCTCATAGGTTCCTTGGACCTGACAACTGCCAGAAGACCAGACGCCCAAGACAGAAAGCAAGCATTCACATCAGTCACGTGGTTGGTAAGGTCTCACACAGCAAACTGCTTTTATCAGCTAGACCACTTTCACTGCGGAGTATAGTTGTAAGGAAAACGTGTTCTTGTATATAAGTCACAGGCCAGCCTTGCGAGCATCTTATTCTAAAAACATAGCAAATCTGAGCCTGCTGTGTTAACTCTCTGAAAAGCCTCATCTCTAGGATCCGTCAGAATAATTCTCCTAAACAGGCTGTAAAAGAAGAAAGGGTATCCAAAGTCATGCTAGAGCATGGGATGCTGGGCAATATGCCAGCTTTGCCAGAAACCACAAAGAAGGCAAAGGACTCGGGTTCTTAGAGGCAATACTGTTTCCATCAGTTATATACAAAGTTCACTGATAGTAATAAATTTTGCTTCATCTCAATTCCCATCATATTGGGGACTCCTCTTAGTGACTCATCTATGATCTGTCAACTTCATTGAAAAAAAAAAAAAGTTCACCCAGAAGAAAAATGGAAAGAATAGCAGGGCCTTAGGTGTTTTACATTACCTGGAAAAGCTATGTTTGGAGTATTAGGAAGCTAATTATCATATGCAGGAAAGGGGGAAAGTTAAGGATATCTAGAGCTAATCTGTCTCTTCAAAAGAGGAAGGGTCAACAGTTTTAATGTTCCCACCAGTAAATTCCACTATGAGGAAATAGCTAGACTAGAAAATTTCCCCCATGGAAGGGGAAGTTAGATAAATACACAGAAGAAATGAAAGCAAAATGGACCTTCACATTCAGGCTCAAGAGTTGACAGGAAATGTAGGGTTGGGTTCGAGGTAGAAAAGTGGAAGATGGAGATGCTTCTGCACTTCCTGCCCCACGCTTGAGAATGTCTCCATGGATGCTTCCCAAGTGCTGCTCTGCAGGTCTGCAACTGCTCTCCCACCAATCAAAATGCACGTTCAAGAGCTCCCTGGCTTTCCAAATACTCCCTTGATGAATCTTTGAGTCACTCCTCTGTGTCCTTTCGACTGACTTTCAGGGAATATCCTGCACAAAACAGAGACCCCTCCCTGCCTTTATACAAGGCGAGGGCTGGAGAAAGGGGAACGAACAGTCGAACAGGTCAAAGTCCCTGGAGTGGCCAGCAAATGTCAACTATTGAGAAGAAATGCTGAACAGAGTTAGCAAGACTGGGAAGGGTATTACAGACTGTCACAACTTTAAACAGAGATGGGAGATAGCGAAGATGCAGGGAAACATGGGCATTGGGCATAAAGCTATGGAAGAGAGAGAATGAATAGAGGAGGCCTAAAGAGTCCAAAGGCTAAGGAGGAGGTTAGCAGGACCACGCTAGAGGCAGCAAGGGGCCATAGGAAAAGAACCTTTCATGTAGGGCTCCATGTATTGTGACCGTCTGTAGCTGTCACCCTGAGATGAGAAGCCCTGCGGGTGGGGACACAGCACCACCAGGTTATTTGACTTGTGTTTCTTTAAAGTCACTTGAAGTAGATGGGCACATGTCACGGGCGGCAGGAGAACTAGTTAAGTGTTGCAGAAATGCATGCCAGCTCTTGAGGCATCCTAACCAAGATGGGCTGCCCTCGGGGGACGGGCCAAGAAATGTCTGCACCGTGGATAAATTTTGAAGGGAGCGACAGCAGAATTTGGATTTAGTTATAAAACTCAAAATAAAGATCATTCATGGCTCCAACAGCTTTGGTGGCTCTTAGTAACCGGAAAGGCAATGATTCCTTCAAATGACCTAGGGAGGCTGCAGGTGAGCCATTGGGGGGAAGAGGAAGTAAGTTATGACTAGGAACTGGGGAGATCGCTCTGCAGTTCAGAACACTTGTTGCTCTTGAAGAGGAAGTGGGTTCAATTCCCAGCAACCACATGGTTGCTTACAAACATCCATTTCCATGGACTCCAACAGTCATGCACATTGAATGTATACACACACCCAGGGAAAGCATCCATATACATAAAAGTAAAATGAATAAATCTAAAAGGTTTTATTTTTAAGCAGTCATGGCTCTGAAAAGTTGAAGTACTATGTAAAGTTCAAGTGGAAAGCTGAGGAGACAATTGGAGAGTTTCAGAGAGAGAGAGAGTTCTGATTATAAAGATACAGACAGGAGAGACATCGGGCTATATATCCCATACTTAAAGTGATACGGCTGGTAAGTTGACCGAGGAGAGAGAGGGAAGGAGTACAAACAGAAAAGACAAAACTCTGGGTCTGGGCCTGCCTG